CAGTGGGAAGATATCACCCTAAGGGAAATAACCTACCTTTGATCCACATATGAGATTCTGGCTGCTGTCAAAGGAAGTTGTGCATGCCTAACCATGGCTGTACATCATTCTAATAAAGGCCAAAGAGAAGCTCATATATAAGTGGAGCGTGAACTTTTTTGACACCGGCTGTAATAAATACCAGCAGATTTAGAAACAGCGTGCAGGCTTACGTGCCTGAGGTGGGAAAAAAGCTATAGCTGTGCCTGATTTACTAGAAGGAAATGTTTAAGGCCATTGAATCATTAGATAAAAAATTGATCTTGAAATGTCAGGAATCAGTGAGGATAACATAACTGACAATTTTGTCCATTAAAAACTCCCTTTTATTGTGCCTGCTTTTCTCTTTTATTTTTAATAACAATCCATTAAAAGTACTGCACCCATGATTTTCTGGTATTTGCGGTTCTATCTTAATACTATCCATTAGTTCTTTTTCCCCTTCTTTTTAATATTTACACATATCATCAAATACTGGGCAAAAATTCCTCTGCTGAAAAGAATCCCATAAGTAAAAATCAATTACATATAGCTTGTTACTGAAGGCATGGCTAAGGTTTCTGTACAGCTTCAGCATCTTATTGAGTTTAAAGTAGTGGAGAACTTTTACATTATTCCATGAATTATAATTTAATGCATTATTATTTCTTCATTTAATCTGAAGATGATGCATCAGTTATAGAGAGTATAATTGCCTTGGGAAAAATTAATAGCTATTCTATAACTGATAACAGGGTGACTAAGAGTAAATATTGTGTCCATGAGTATCAGTTTGACATAAGAAGCTGTCCAGCCCAAAGGATTCCAGCTGGAAAAGCCCAATTTAAAATTCTTACATTTCGTCCATTTCATGTGTATTCATCAATGCTTATGCATTTCAAGTAATCTGAGCCTGTGGCGTGTCAAATACCAGGACTGTATGGAGAAAAGGATACCAGCCTTCAGTTGAGCGACCAGTAACAGGCTGAAGGTACCTTAGGGCATTCTGCAGCTCCCCTTGGCGTTGAAAGAAGAAATGATCCTTGGCCTGAGTTCTCACAGTCCAAATGTGATCCTCCAGCAGTCAACGAAACCTTTGCACTGACTTGAGGGGGACGGGACAGACCTCTGCATCAAATTTGGATCCCCCTGAAATGAATCAGAACTGTTGATACCATGACCTCTGACCAACAGAGGTCACAGTACCTAAAAGAGTATTGGCACATCATAACATAAATTTTAACACAGCTCTTCTCTTAACAGGAAGGACTGTGGGTAAATTCTACCTGATAATTTTGTTTTTCTTTCTATCTGATAAATGAACTAAGTGACAAACAGGGAAAATGAAAAGTTAAGCTTCATAAACTGCTTCACTGACTGCTAAGAGGAGAAGATTCTCTGATTTTCCCCAATCAATAGTTTCAAAAACACTAAAAATTTTCAATTTGAACAATTTATAATATACAAAACCAATAAAATTTGAAAGGTTATTGAAGAAAAAAGAAAAGAAAAAAAATATATATAAAAAAGGGGGGTATCTCAGTTTTAAATATATTTATCTGAACATACCAGACAAATGGAAGTCTCATGGGGACATAAGAGGGAACACCAGGCGAGGGATGGAATTTTAAGTCCTTGCCTTGCAAGGCTCAGATTTGAATGCAGCCCAGGCAGACTAATGGCATTACCAGACTTCTGTGTCTTGCAGCCTTTGCAGCTGTGAATGTCCCTGCCCAGGACCACTCTTTGCATGCTGGAGCGCTAGATCGCTGTATTTTCAACAGCCCAATGCTCTGGCCTTTCCTCCTAATTCAAGGATTCCCACATTTCATCGGTGAGGCCTCTGGGGACAGGGTGCCCTGCAGGGAGCCCTCTCCTAGCTGCAGACCTTGCCCTGCACCTGGGCAGGGGCACACAAGCATCTCTCCCCAGAACACCCATCAGGCAGCATTTCCAATCAAGTCCATGTGGGTTTTGAATCACAGATTAATCAGCATCACAGCTCACTTGGGCCTCTCCACTCCCTCTCCCACACTTGGGTTCCCACAAGCTCACCTGTCCCCGTGAACGGGCAGCTCATGGGGATCCCCCCTCCCTGCTGGCATGCAATGAGCTGGATATGAGTGCACAGCACAGCAGGAGCTGGCTCTGAGGGGCTTTTAGGCAGAAATGCAGCTGGAGCCCAGGCACTGACTGCATCCAAAACATTCCTGTCCTCAGATCCAGAACCTCTAAACTACTCCTTAGCTTTAACAAAAGAGCCAGGAAGCAGCTCCCATCTATAATAATTACAAGAGAGTTTCCCTTGCCCTTGCACTATTTATTGCTTTTGCCCTTACCATAGATTGCTTGAAACAGAAGCAACTATTAAAGATCAGAATATTTATTTCTGGACAGGCAGGGTGAGCTTTGGAAGAAAACTCCCTCTTTCTCTCAATCATTAACACTTCTGTTGGGAAGGGACAGGGCTGGTTTAGGCTGCAGACTAAATGAAGCACTAAATGATTGCGTTGCAACAACTGCAGCAGGGGAAATGGTCGCCTCCAGTGGAAATATAATGCTGTGATGGTACTTTCAGAAAGGTACAGTAATTGTTCAAGTATTGTTTTGTAGTTTGTCCCACAAGTGGCTTCTTTCTCCCTTACTTTCACAAGGCTGTCAGAGGTAAAAGGTGCATTTCAGTAATTACAGCTGGGGCTGGAAAGTTGCAGCCAGAAGGGCACCTGCCAGCCTTCCACCCAGATGACATGTATCTTTCCTGACTCCGCAGTTCCAGGGCAGGGGCTTGCAAGGAAAGAGCTCACTTGTTAATAATAATAATTATTATTAATAATCAAGTGATGTCCTAACCTTGGTTACATCAGTCTACCATACCCTTAGCTGGAGCTCCTGCCAATCACTCTCACACTGATCCTGTTCTCAGCAGGTTGTGTCGACAAAAGGACAAGAAGCAGGGAGGCTGTCAGCCGCTTGGGCTAGGGGAGATGAAGGGGAGTGGCCCAGGGTGATTTCTGTCTCCTGTCTGGCAGGACAAGGGGACGCAGGTCTGTCATCCCGGCCAAACCTGGGGAGAGAAGCCTCTCTGGTGAGCTGCGATCTCCTCCTCATCTCGCTGCCAAACTGCTGTGCGCATAAGGGATGCCAGCAGGAGTTGGGGGGCGACGTACCTCCTTCATCCCCGAGGACATCTCTCGGGGCTGCCTTGCGTAGCGGGGCAACGACCGGGCCGGGGGACCAGGAGCCCTGCAGCGCTGGCTGCTTTGCATTCCAGGGTCACACCCGAACCCCCCGCACAGATACCTTTCTCTCCTCCCCGCCCTAGGCCATCGGCAAAACTTGAAGAAAGGAGCCTAGGAGAAGAGGACGGGCGTTTCATTCGCGTGCATTTCGGAAAGTTGCCGGCCGGCGAAAGCGGCAATGCAAGGTCAGGGCAGGACGCGGCTGCGCCCCCCCGCCCCCGGCTCCTCGGCCCAGCAGCGGGGATGAGGGGGGTGTGCCATCTAAGACTCTCTCCCCCGAAACATAGCGCAGAGGTCGTTTCTCCTAGTTGCTGTTAAAGCTGCTGTGTGAGCTTGGTTTAAGAACAAGCTGTTACGGTTTCCCCTTTTTCCCTTCCCCCTCTTTTTTAAAAAGGGGTGTCAGGTGCGTGTTGCCTGCCGGTACCCCATGTTGCTCCCGCGTCAGAAAATGAATGATGCAGCAATTTAATTAGGAGGGAGTGGTGAGTCCATATTTCACCGGTGAAAGGGAGCTTCGGAGGCTGGGAAAGATGATACATGTCCGCGGGCGCGGAGGAAGCGCCCCTGCCAGCGGAGAGCGCCGTCCGGGCGGCCTGAGGCTGAGGGCTCCCCCAGGCTCTCTCCCCTGCACCTGCAGCTTTGCCCGTCAACTTTTGGCTGCCGAGCAGCTATTCCAGTTAAGTCTCCTCCCGTTCGATCAATCCCCCTGCTCCGCGGAGGGAGGAGAGCGGCGCGGAGCAGGGCGGTGAGTGCCGCCAGCTGCCCCAGGGCGTTACGCGGGTCCCGCAACCTCCCGGCACCCCTGAGTGTGGCGATACGCGCATCCATGTGCCGGGGACGGGTGTGCAAGGGTGTGCGCGCCTGGGGATGCGCGCACGGGTGCGCAAGGTGCAAGGACGTGTGCGGACAGCGGAGATGCAGGAGGCATCGTGGGGGCAACTCCCTGCCCTGCCAGCAGACCTCCTCTCCCGTCCGGGGATGTGACCTGCGGGGGGGGGGGGGGGGGGGGGGGAGAGCAGAGTCCGCAGTCCCCTCTGCTCCCTCAGCCGGACACCCCGCCGGCGCATCTCACCGGCCAACTTTCAGCCACGAACGAACCCGCGCAAGCCCCCGCTGCGCCCCCCTCCGCGGATCCACCGCCCCCCGCCGGCCGCTTCCACCCGTGTCCCCGCGCAGCACTGTTACTTGCCTCCGGCTCCTGGGGCGGGCAGATACCGGCCGGCGGCGCTGCTCTCCGCGGACGCGGCCCTTCGCCTCCTCGCACACTCCGCGGTGGAAGGATGCGAACGGTGCCGGGTCGGTTCCCCCGAGAATTTTAGCTTCGCCTGCGTGGCGGGCGGGAGATCGCTGGCTCCTGGAGAGGCTGCGAGGCTGGAGCCGCGGCTCGGCATCGGGACGGGAGGCAAGGAGAGGGAAGAGAGGACGAGGCGCCGGGGAGCAGCGGGGAGAGCCGGGCGGCCGGGCCTGGACCCCGTGGCCCCTCGCCGGAACCCACTGGGCTGCCCTCCTCCCCGAGCGGCTCAGATGGCGGTTGCAGTTACAGCATCTTTGATTTCCTTCAGACTTAGGCTTTTTTCCTCCCCCTACCTTTTTTTTTTTTTTCTTTCTTAAAGCGGGGTTTGTGTAAATTGTGACCCATCCCGGCGGCTTTTTTCTCTATGATTCTTCTTGTATTTCCCCCCCCCCCCCATCTGCTCATTTCCCACTTCCCGTCCCCTCCGCCAACCAGCCCCCTCCTTCCCCCTTAAAAAAAAAAAAAAAAAAAAGGAAAAAAAATAAGGCAGGGAAAAAAAAAATGTACAGTCAGGGCTTCCCAAATGCGCGCCCCCGACCTGATGCCAAGCGCGCCCCCTTCATTTGTTCCCCTTCTTGAAGCTGATTTTCATGACGTGGAAAAGCCTGATCCAGGGCAACAACAGCACCGCACACACACACGCAGTCACACACACACACGCACACGCACACGCACCCGCACCCGCGGAGGCGGCGAGCAGCGTGCGGTCCTCCGCCGCGCCCCAGCCCGCCCGCTCCGCGCTGCTGGGGCCCGGGGAAGGCGGCGGCGGAGCCTGCAGCAGCCCCTCTCCTCCCTCCTCCATTGAGTGTGCCAAACAGCAGCTCTGCATCCTAAAGAAGATCATTGAGGGGCTCATTGCATTCCCGGCACGTTTCAGGCTTGCTTTTTTTTTTTTTTTTTTTTTTTTCCTTTTGCCTCAGCTTCAGCGGGAGTAGAGAGAGGGAGAGAGAGACAGAGAGGGAGAGACAGAGAGAAACCAGCAATCTTTAAACTCGAGCTTCTTTTTTTTTTTTTCCCCCTTCCACTCTTTTTTTGTTTGTAACGATGTGCTAAAATCTCTCCTGCAAACCGGTAAGTACAACCTTTCTGGATCCTTTTGTTTCCGCCTAGGGTTAAAGACACCCCCTCTTCCAAAAAGAAGATATAATAATCCTTTTTATTTTTTTTTTTTTATTATAGCCCTTGCAGAAGAGAACGAACTTAAGTAGCTAATATCTTGCAAAGGAGACAGAAAGACTTATACTGCAACATAGCTCTCATCTCTCTCTTCTTCCCAATTAGACGCTGGTTTTAATTGCAGAGGGGTATTTCTTTTTCCATGCTTTCAACCATCTCCTCTTTCCCACAGGGGAGGGTTTCATTTGCAAGTTGATCCTAAGGATTTCTGTTCTGGCATTTCTCTTCCCTTAATGTATCTTTCTGCTCTTAAGTTTGTGGATGGGGGGGCAAATTTTTCTAGTTCTTTCACGAGGAAGGAAAAAAAGACCTTTCCTATTGAAAGATTAAGACTAAAAGCAACGATAGCTATGAATAATTCTAATGGGCATTTCAGAGATTCAAGGAAGGCTGCATCACTGCCATTATTATTACCATCCTTAGCATTTCTCTGTGCCCATACATTAAAAATATCTGATGAAAGGAAGGGTGAAACCATATGTTGAAGGAGCTGCACCTCATTAGTGCAGTATTATTTTCATCTGATTAGAGAAGAATGGTGTCTTCATTCGAAAATGTATATAGTAGGATAGATAATTTATCGGCTGGTAAGTGTCAAGGTATTTTTTTCTTCCACTTTCAGCTTTTTAACTGGGTCTCTTGCTTGGTCCTGGGGGCGCAGAATACCCTAATCCAAGGCAGGCTGAGCGCTTCAATCCTAGGTGCCTCTTTAGCTGTCACTTCCCTTTAGATCTGCTGATCGCATGGGTATGTGCTTTAGAAAGATTAATCATCTCTAAATGCTTTAATCAGCTAAAATGACTAATATGTGGTATGTATTTATCTGATAATATACCAGTTGCATTAATTCATCAGAGCATCTGAAAGGGGAAGATTTTCTTTTAAATCAGTATCGTTAACCATTTACTATTTTAAAGATAAGACTGTGGGGATTTATGAAGGGAACTGTTTTGCCAGGGACATCAACAAACCTTGCTCATTCCTTTGAACTTACATTATGGAATATATTGAGTCGGGATGGAGAGAGATTTGAGGATTGAGATTCAATAACTTTGGGAGTTTACATGTATGAAAGATGTGGTGCGACACTGGAGAAACCTACCCACTTGTGTCTCCCCCCCACAGTCGATGCGGGCTGTGATGGCTACAAAGCTAAAATTGCAAATGAGTATCAAATATGTGTGGTCCGAATCCATGGTTCTATGGTGTAAAACATGTAAAGATGCAACATGCTCAGCTTGTGCGCTCAGTGTCGCTGTGTGGCTCTACATGTGCTGTCCTCTCTTTATAGGTGGCATTTACCAAAGGGGGGGGGGGGGGGGGGAGATAAGGGTGGCTGATATCGCGTGATTAAACCTTCTAACATCTCTTAAGTATAAATCAGGGCAAGGCTCACCCATCTGACAGCCTTAGAGTTGGTTGTGAACATCTGCTCAACAATTGCTGAACTTTCCAAGAGCCTAACATAAGTCTAGCAGGTAGGGGCTTAGGAAAAAGTGAGGCAGGACAAAAATACTGAAATCTGCATTTTTCTCCCCACTGCAGTTTTGTAAACATCAACAAATGATGAAACTTTTCACAGCAGAGACACTTCATAAAGGAAGGATGTTGTGGATAGTTCTTCTAAGCACAACTGCTCTAGCATGGACTACACCAATTCCCTTGATAGAGGACTCGGAGGAACTCGATGAGCCCTGCTTTGATCCATGTTACTGTGAAGTGAAGGAGAGCCTTTTCCATATACATTGCGACAACAAAGGATTTATAAATATTAGTCAGATAACACAGTCATGGTCAAGACCTTTTAAACTTTATTTGCAGAGGAATTCCATGAGAAAATTGTACACCAATAGTTTTCTTCACTTGAACAATGCTGTGTCTATTAACCTTGGGAACAATGCACTGCAGGACATTCAGACAGGGGCTTTTAATGGGCTCCGAGTTCTGAAGAGGTTGTATTTGCACGAAAACAAATTGGACATTTTCAGAAATGACACTTTCCTGGGTTTGGAAAGTCTGGAATATCTGCAGGCAGATTATAATGTCATTAAACGGATTGAAAGTGGGGCATTTCGAAACCTAAGTAAATTGAGGGTCCTCATCCTAAATGACAATCTTATCCCCATGCTTCCCACCAACTTATTTAAGTCTGTGTCCTTAACCCACTTGGACTTACGTGGGAACCGGCTAAAAGTCCTTTCATACCGTGGGATGTTGGACCATATTGGCAGGAGCCTGATGGAGATCCAGCTGGAGGAGAACCCATGGAACTGTACGTGCGAGATTGTGCAGCTTAAGAGCTGGCTGGAGCGCATCCCCTATACCGCCCTGGTGGGGGACATCACCTGTGAGACTCCCTTCCACTTCCATGGAAAGGACCTTCGGGAAATCAAAAGAAGTAAGCTCTGTCCCATGCTGTCTGACTCTGAGGTGGAAGCCAGCCTAGGCATCCCTCAGCTGTCGTCCAGCAAGGAGAATGCATGGCCTACGAAGCCTTCCTCCATGCTGTCTTCCTTCCATTTCACTGCTTCCTCTGTCGAGTACAAAACATCCAACAAGCAGCCCAAACCCACCAAGCAGCCCAGGGCGCCCCGGCCTCCCCCAACATCACGCAGCCTATACCCTGGGCCAAACCAGCCACCAGTGGCTGCTTACCAGACGCGGCCCCCCATCCCCATCATCTGCCCGACCGGCTGCTCTTGCAGTTTGCACATAAATGACCTGGGCCTGACAGTCAACTGCAAGGAGCGAGGGTTCCACAACATCTCCGAACTCCTGCCCAGGCCCTTGAACGCCAAGAAGCTGTACCTGAGTGGGAATTTGATTCAGAAAATCTACCGCTCTGATTTCTGGAATTTTTCCTCCCTGGATCTCTTGCACCTGGGGAACAACCGGATCTCCTACGTGCAGGATGGGGCTTTTATCAACCTGCCGAATCTCAAGAGCCTGTACCTGAATGGCAATGACATCGAGCGGCTCACCCCAGGCATGTTCCGGGGCCTGCAGAGTTTGCATTACCTGTACTTCGAGTACAACGTGATCAGGGAAATCCAGCCGGCGGCCTTCAGCCTCATGCCCAACCTGAAGCTTCTCTTCCTCAACGACAACCTGCTCCGCACCCTGCCCACTGACGCCTTCGCCGGCACTTCCCTGACCCGCCTCAACCTGCGCAACAACCACTTTTTGGCACTGCCGGTGGCTGGGGTGCTGGAGCACCTCCACGCCATCGTCCAGATCGACCTGAAGCTCAACCCCTGGGACTGCACCTGCGAGCTGGTGCCGCTGAAGCAGTGGCTGGAGGCGCTCAGCTCCGTCAGCGTGGTGGGCGAGGTGCTGTGCGCCAGCCCCGAGGCCCTGGCCCGCCGCGACCTGCGCTCCCTGGAACTGGCCGCGCTCTGCCCGGCCGCCCTCCGCCCCGCCGCCGCCTCGCCCCCCGCCGCGCCGCCGCCACCCGCCGCCACCGGTGCCGCCGCCTATGAGCTGCCGCCGGCCGCCGCAGCTGTCCCTCTCTCCGTCCTCATCCTCAGCCTCCTCGTTCTCTTTTTCTCCGCCGTGCTGGTGGCCGCCGGGCTCTTCGCCTTCGTGCTGCGCCGCCGCCGGCGGAAGCTCCCGTTCCGCGGCCCGCGGGGGGAGGCGAACGACCTGGGAGGTGTGCCGCTGCGCTGCCCGCGGCTTTTCGAGGAGGGCGGCGGTGGCGGCGGCGGTGGCGGCAGCTCGGGGGTTAGGGAGTGTTCCCCGGAGAAGGCGCCCCCGGCGGGCCACGTCTACGACTACATCCCGCACCCGGTGACCCAGATGTGCAACAACCCCATCTACAAGCCGCGGGAGGAGGAGGAGGTGGCGGGCGGCGGTGGAGGGGAGGCGGCGGAGCTGCTGCGGGGCGGCGGGGAGCGGTTCACCGCCGTCGCGCAGGACCCGGGCACCAACTACCGCACCTTGCTAGAGAAGGAGCAGGAGTGGAGCCTGGCCGTCTCCAGCTCGCAGCTCAACACCATCGTTGCCGTCCACCCCCAGCACCCCGCGGGCGGCGGGCTGGCGGCGGGCGGCGGCGGGCTCGGAGCGGCGGCGGGAGGAGGCGCCCCGCGGGACCGCGACCGCCCGCCGCCCCTCGCCGTGGGCTTCGTGGACTGCCTATACGGCACCGTGCCCAAACTAAAGGAACTGCACGTCCACCCACCTGGCATGCAATACCCGGACCTCCAGCAGGACGCCAGGCTCAAAGAAACCCTCCTCTTCGCGGCCGGCAAGGGCTTCCCAGACCACCAAACTCCCACAAGCGAATACCTCGAGTTAAGGGCCAAACTCCAAACCAAGCCGGATTACCTCGAAGTCCTGGAGAAGACCACGTACCGGTTCTGACCGCCGCCCCGCCGCCCGCCCCGGCACCGCCGCAAGAGAGTCGAGGATACAGCTGTGTGCTCTTTCCCGCCAGATGTGCGCTCCGTGGGGAAGGGCCGGTCTCAGATCATTAATCGATGAAGTGCCTTCGCAGACTTTTGCCAGCAGATGTTAATCAATCATTATTTTTTATATTGAAACTGAGACTTTGACTGTGCCATGTCTAAGGTATATCATTATTATTATTAATATTATTATTATCGGGGATCTTTGTATTGATCCTCATTAAGTAAATTCTATGTGTGTGTCTTTTTTTATTTATTTATTTTTTGGTAGGATTTTGTTTTTGTTGGGTTTTGATTGGGGTTTGTTTTGGGGTTTCTTGGGAGGGGATGGGGCTTGTTTTTTAACGGTGTTTTTGATCGGTTTGGTGGTTTGGGTTTCTTTGGGGGTCTTTTGTTTGCTTTTTTTGTTTGTTTGTTTGCAGTAAACTTCCTTTATATTTTCCCTTGGAGAGGAGGGGGAGGGAAGATGGCATTTTCTGGCTTGCGTTCTTCTAGCCCATCATGGCACAGGTTCTGTATATTTATTTAAAAAAAAATGCAAAGAAGCAAACGAGCGCAGTTTGCTGCATGCCTGGAAACTGCAAGAGGGAAGGGAGGGGAGGGTCTTGCTCGAATGTCTCACTCTTGTCTCTCTCCCTCCCTCTCACGCACACCCACCCGCACCCCCGCCGCCATCCCCCCGCCAGCTCGGCCCCGCCACGCAGCGCAGCCCGGGCCGCGGAGGGGAACTCCGAGGGCTGGCGGGGTACCCCCGGGGCTGAGCAGCCCGAAGGAGGGGAGCACGTGGCGCACACACCTCGGGGATGCTCAGTGACACTTCATCATGACGCCATGGTTTTTTTGGAGGACATCCGCACTTTCCTAATCAAAGCAACATGCAATTATACAGAAAACGAGTAAGAAAGAAAGAAAGAAAGAAAAAAAAGCTCCTGAGCACCTGTCACTAACGGCTTTGTAGGAAGCACTTTTAATGTTTTTCTCATACACACATGCACACGCACACACACACACACAGCGGTACAGCAATGTGCATATATTTATTCTGTAATTTCAAGTGAATATAAATTGTAAAGGTAATGTTTAATCATTGTACAGTGATGCGTCTGGTATAGCTTTCCTAATAAAATGTTTTGAAAAAAAAATGCATATATATATATATATACCTCCATGTATATATATATATAGGAATACAAAGCTTGAACTGAAACTTCAACTTCCCCAATGAGATTTTCTCCCCCATCTTAACCTTGAGAGCTTTTTTATTAATAATAGTTCAATGCACTGTGATGTTAACAGAGAAAAACCTTGTACATCTTCTTTTGCCAAGATACCACCCGAGACTTTTAAATGATGATTTGCAATCCCTATTCCCACCTTCTGCAGTACTTATGGCCTATCCCGTGTCATTTAAAAATTGGCACTAAAATTAGGACTGTGTCCTTGAGTGGCGTGGCTTGCAGGAGTGCTGGTTCTTCGGCCTGCTGGTAACAGAGGGGGCGTTCTCTGTTTTGTGGTTCGAAACATTGACGTTTCCCGGGTCACAGTCCGTGCCCATGTTACCTGTTGGATGGAGCTGGAGCGGGAGGTTAAAGTGTAGTTTAATTTTGGGAAAGAATGAAGCAGTCGGGCAAAGGGTCCCACTGGCTTCAGACACCTGGCCCTGCTCCTCGCGGCCGTTTGCTCGCTGCTGAAACCGGAGCGAGACCAAAGACGATTGGATTTCCCGTCCCGGGAAGGTCACGGTTGGTGTCTTGGCCACGTTGAGATCCCGGCCCTATGCCGGGCTGCCGGCGGAGCGCAGCTCCGCGCAGCCGCCAGGTGGCGCCACAGCTCCAGCTCTGGCTGCCGCGCGGCCGGGCGGGAGAGCCGGGAGGTCCGATTGGTCCGGGCCTGGCTCCCGGACCCGGACCCGCTCTTGGTCCCCGCCGGCCTCGCCGAATGTACCCGCCGGGGCGCCTTATAGCGGGGCATGCGGGGCCGCGAAGGGGAGAGCCCTTAGCCTGGCGCCGGTGTCGGCCAGGCGCCACCCTAAAGACATTAAAATACAGATTTTTATACAGAAATATGTATCTATAAATATCATCTGTCTTAACGGAACAGTGTTAACGATCATTTATCCGGGTGAATTGTGCTTATTTTTTCCCAACTACGTTCAAAAGGTGTTGCTCCCCAGGGCTTTTGCTCTGGCTGCTGCTGGGGACTGAGGCTCTGCTTTCTTTGTGGAAGGGGCAGATGCTGCTGTAGCTCGCAGCGTAGTGTCACCTCACCCCAGCTGCCCCCCCTCCTCTTGGAAACAACTTGATTTCACCCAGCACAATGTATTTTAATGGAGATCAATCCATGCAAACTTGTTTTCACCCCAAGTATCTCTATCGATAGCTTCAGTGAGTATGCTTACTGCTGACTGTTTATCACTCTGTCTTGGAGAGGCATCTGTGAGCGACAGAAGTGATTTCCTGAGCATTGCTGGTAGCTGTTGTACTTTGAGATGGAGGGAGAGCATCAAAAGTCTGAAAATCTAGCATCAGCTCCATAATATTAGTAAAAAATATTATGCTTTTGAATTTCCCATATTCCTCTGTTGAGCTAATAGTGTTTTATTAACATTGCCTTCAGCTCTAATCCTTTGGAGTTCAGTCATTTGGGTTTTTTGTTGGGTTTTTTCTTTTTTTTAATGGATAGTAGAAGGGTATGCACATGTTGAAAGTAATAAACCTCAAAGTGCAAAGGCCAGATCCTTCTCATGATAAGCATAATTACATTGATAAGACTACATGCGAGTAATGTTTGGAACTATATAAATCAGGTTAAAGTACAACCCCTAGTGAGAGTGGTGCTGTATACATCTGGCTGTGCCATCCAAGCCCCCAGTGTTCATACTTGTATCCAAATATAGTAAAGCCAGTTGCAAATAATGTTTATATTTTAGTTAAAATGCAGAAAGGAAAGAGAATTTCAAGGTAACTATAAGTAGTAGTCTCACCTGTGAATGGTGAGGAAATCTATTTATTCAGTGGAAATAAATTTGTTTTATGAGAATGGAATTTTGTATTAAAAGCGATAATTTTTGGCATATGTTGAGTTCTTTTTCTTTCCTTGTGTAGGAAACTTCCTTTTCCTTGTGTACTGAAATCATTTGGGGATAATGCATTCTGGAAGAGTTGACGATATTTAATTGTCATATCTAATGTGTATTATTATGTCTTCTATTTTGCTATTTCATTAGGTTGACTTGAGGCTGAGTGGGTAGTAGCATTACTTTCTACTGCAGGAAGCAAAAGTTGATTGATCCATCATCTCCGATTTGTGACAAGTGTGACTCTTTACCTCCTTCAACCTGAGTTGCTCCCAGTTACTAGGGAGTATTAATGATAATTCTGTGATCATCAACAGTATTACTAGTGGCATTAATGATATTGGGAAGGAATCAAAGTCAAGTGATCTGCATTTACATTAGAGCTGTTTGATGGGATACTATTTTAAATAAATAAATAATTTTTTAGCTTATTTCATTGTTGCACAGCAACATTGGCTTCAGCAGTTCAGCTTGTGGCGATGCTCAGAGCATAGCAGTAAATCTTTCATTATGTGTCTGTTGTATTCACTCATTGACTATATTGAAATTCTTCCTACAGGTGGAAAAGAAAAAAAGGTCAGGTAAGTCCCAGTCGTAGCCGATAACAGTTGTACACAGGGAAATATAAAGGATAATAGCGGTGCTCAATTATCAGTGCTCTTTTGTATTTCCTACATATTGTCGTTGATGTCACCATCATGTTCTACCTGGGTTAAAAGATTTGTTTGAGATTTGGAAATTGCTTCATGGATCTCTTGACTCTATGAATAGTGAGAGAAAGATGCTAAATTTTATGCTGTGAATAATTATCTGACTTCTGGAAAGTGATCCATCTCTGAATGTCTGTTGCAGCAAGCCAGGACCTATACTACTCCAGTTAGGAGAATATTACAGACAGATCATATATTACAAGATTCAGTGGGCATGAGTTAAGCTGCAGTAGCTCAAGATTTTGTCAGAGACTTTTCCAGGCAAAATCACTTTTGAGCATGTCACTGCGGCTGATTTCATTTTAAGATAGAAACATGCAGCTATGTTTGACTTGTGTTCTCTGCTGTACAATTCTACAGCAGCAGGACCTACAGGTGTCTAGAAAATCTGCAGTGTTCTAGATGTTTCTGAATCACTAATGTGAGCAAGCAGTAATTCATGAGTGTTATGCTACTTCTACTTTGTTCAGGCACCTACTTCACACAAACTGGTCACATGAATAAGACATGATGACATGATGAATCAGCTTTAGGCGTAACAGAAATGTTCACGTGAAAAAAGTGTGTAGAATTTGGCTGTAAGTTTGGAAGTTCATTGCTTAACTACATTACTCATCTGAAGAGTATGACCTCTGGCAATGATCCAGCCACTTAGGTGCAAATTCATTCCAGAATTGCACTTCATCCAGAGGCATTTGCTTTTACAGCATGGATTTATGTCACTCAGAACTCAGGCTGCTGCACACTGCGTATTCCTATTTTATGAGTTTTCCAACACCTGATTCTAAATCTGACTTCCTCAAAGCTGAGTTTCACAGTGAGTTTATATATGCGGTTTACAGTACCATGCAGTTGTTTCCATGGGAGAAAATGGAGTAAATTCACCCAACTTCTTCATATTAACAGCTCTTTGTACAAAAAATACACTATTTTTCAATTCTTTGTAATGCTGATACGAGTGGAAATACATCTTTTTTCCCAATTCTTAGAAAAAGTCTGGTTAGTTTGGGCAAGTGTAGCTTTGCCCCAGTTTGAAGCCTGTTCAAGCAAGTGGAAGAAGTGGAATGTTTTTTGAACAACCTTTGTGTGGGTATGGACTGGAGGCCTAATTTATGCTCCCTTGAAGCCAATGATGAAATCCTACATTACTGTTCAGTTTTCGTCAACTGACTTGAGTGAAAAGCAAAGTCTGATCTCTGAAAATTACAACATGTATTCAGGTATTTTTTGAGACAAGTACTCCCCATTACTTTTTCAGAATAAAATGGGTAACAGTATAGAGAAAGTGTTTTTCCTATCAGTAATTTTTTTCTGATTGACCTCATTCACAAATTAAAAAGACACTCTTTAGTGCTTTTTTATTTTAAAATAAGATCATTTGCACAAAGACAAGTATGAGTGCATCTCAGCGTATTCAAAAAATGTGGAAATTGCTACCAGAGTGGTACTTAATAT